TATATAATTATGTATAGTTATATATAATTTTATATAATTGTATATAATTATGTATGAAAAATTTTTTATTGGGAAAACAGCAAATTATAATAAAAACAAGAAATTATGGCTGAAGGGACTGATAAATTGACAGCGCTCGATAATATATACGAAGTTAGCATATATTATATATGGTCAGCATATTTATATAGGTTATAACCTATAGGCTACTCTTTGTATCTTATTTATTTATATTAAATTGATTAACTTTTTCGTCTTATGTATTTTTTTCGTTTTTAATAAATACATCGCTGCAATCGCTTGCAGCAGCTATATGTCGTCTTCGAACTTCACCTATAATCGCCACTGTACATCTATAATATTTTATATATCTCGATTATAACACTCTATTTTTATACTTATTGCAGTTTATACAGGAGGTTAAACGTGGTGAATAGGATATGGGCGACAGCGAACAGCGTTATAACGCTACTTTGAACTATGCTGAAGTGGGGATAAAACGCCAGCTTTTATTCGCTCCATGAAAAGGATACAGGTGATAGCAAACAGCTTTGAAACGCTGTTTTGAACAACGATGGAGTGGGGTGAAACGCCAGCTTTTATTCGCTGCGTGAAATCGCACCTTAACTTATTTCTGCTCTAGGGAAATTGCTCGGAGAGGTATTATCGGAAACACCGTATGTTAGAGTGCGTTCACATGGAGAAAGGAATAGCGTAACGAACAGGGGCCTTAGAGCACCGTCCCACGGAGCGGAAATTTTCAGCAAAACGGAACGTGCGGAGTTGTTGTTGTTGTTGTTGTTGTTTATGGTTTCGGAGCTCAGTCTATTAACCAAATTAAATATCAAAAATGGAACAGAGAAAATTTAAATAATCCTTCTAACACATTTGATAAATAAAGCAATCTCTCGAAAAGCAGTCAAGTTAGCACTGAAAACCACTTCAGAGATGTCGATAGAACCGACGAATCCGAAACGGTGCAAGCCAATCCGAAGAAAGTCAGATTCGCGACTATAACGCGGGTAATTAAAAAATAAATGGTTCAAAGTTTCGACCTCGCCGCACGCGCAGAACGGGCTGTCGACGAATCCCTTGTCGTGTAAATGTTAAGCAATCCGAATGTGGAAAGTTCTGATTCTTCCAATAATAGTAATTAAATTTCTGTCAGATTGTCAAAATCCTCAAACCACGGAGATAAAATCTTGATTCGTGTGGAAATATAGGAATTCACGTTGCTCAGAAGAAACAGAGAAAAACTCTATAGCTTGACGGTTCATATTGTTGCGGAAAATTCTCTTAAGAGAATTAGTAAAAATAATTTCCTTATGTAGACCAGAGAGGTGGAAACCTCCAGCGGCTTCCTTAACCATAACATCGGCGGTTTCGTAGCCAGCAATGCCCAGATGACCTAGTATCCAAATGAAGGCCAGGGAAAAATCTCTTGATGTTAAATCTAAGAATTGATCCTTGATCATGTATATTAAATTATGTTGTTTTCTCTTCATGTCATTTTGACCAAGGCGTTAATAATACTTTTAGAATCCGAGGCGATGATTATGTCTTTTGGAATGATGGTATCCGAAATAACAGAGAGAGCGTGAACATTGGCCATAGCCTCAGCCTAAAAAATGGAAAGGTCGGATAATAATTTATATCGTAGGGAATTAGAAAGGGGAGTGAAAAAAATGCGCATCCAATACTCATTACTGATTTAGAAGCATCTGTATAAACGATATCGAAATTGGCAAAGTCACTGCTCGCAAGATGTTTGCTAAAACATTCCTCCATATTCGGAGAAGCACAAACAGGCCAAAACATCATTCGTAAAAGAATCAACAGAGTTTAAACAATTATTACCAATTAAAGTGCCCGACGAAGGACATACGCAAAACACGAGAAAATTATAGTCAATCGAGACAGGGAAATTAGTGACCTGTAACTCAAAAAGATATTCAGAAAAAAAATGATGAAAAGATGCGAAGGAGGGTTCACTTACATAGGAGGGCAACGACAAATCTCTAAAATGCAAAGAGTAAGCGAGCCTCCTTACGGGGTGTAAGGAGGTTCTTTAATAACGAAACAACCGAAGACATATTTGCGGAAGATAAATTCTTTACGAATACCGAGAGGAACTTCACCAGCCATGTGTAATAGAACGTTAGTGAGAGTCGTGTTCATGGCACCGAGAACAGTTCTGAAAGCTTCATGTTGAATTCTATCCAAGATAATACCAATGAGAGGATCCAAGTTAGCAAAGGCCTGAAATCCGTATTCAAGGGCGGAACGGATCCAGCCCTTGTAATTATTTAGTAAATTAGATGGGTGTGCATCCCACTTCAAACCTGCTATAGACTTAATGGACAACTTGGAGCAAATTTTCCCAGGAAGCTCTAAACAGTGATTTTTCCACTTTAATTTCCTATCAAAGATAACATTAAGAAATTTAACCGATTCGACCTTAGAAATACAAGGGTTGCTATTTATGTATCCGGAATAATAAAATGCATTTATTGTTTTTCAAAATATTCTCCGCGGTGATCGATACACTTTTGCATACGTTTAAACCAATTTTCGTAGCACTTTTTCCATTCCGATTGAGGTATCTCTAAAACATGCAGGGCATGTCATTGAGGCATCTCTAAACATTTTGAACACATCAACCGCTTCTTCTGGCGTCGAAAATCGTTGACCACGTAGTTTATTCTTCGCGTACGAGAACAAAAAGAAATCATTGGGTGCCAAATTCGGACTGTACGGCGGATGACCCATCAATTTGATGGTTTGACCGGTCAAATATTGAATTGTTTGGGCCAATGTGTGAAAGCTCGCATTGTCATGGTGAAGAATGATCCTGGTTGTTTTTTCTTATTTCACCAATGATTTCTGGTAAACAAATGGTAGTACCATTTAGAATTGACCGTTCTACGATCATCTAGTGGCACTGTAGTCATATGTCCATTTATCCCAAAAAAACAGGCAACCATTTGCTTTGAAGTGCTTTTTGCGCGAACAACTTTTGTTGGGTTTGGCTCATCTTGGAAGACCCATACAGTCGACTGCTGTTTACTTTCGGGCTCATATACATAGATCCAAGATTTGTCTGTGTAAATGTTATACACAGCTTTTGACCACGATTGTATTTTTTGAGCATTTCTTTGCACCAATCGACACGAGCCTGTTTTTGAGCGATTGTCAAATTATGCGGAATCCAACGGGAACAAATTTTTTTTACGGCTAAATGTTCATGTAAAATCTTGTGTATGCTTGTCATACTAAAGTCCAGAGATGCCTCAATCTCACGGTATGTCACATAACGATCTTGCATTATCAGTTCGCGCACAGCATCGATTGTTTCTGGCACAACCACCGATTTTGGACGACCTTGTTTAAATTCGTCCGTAAGCGAACGACGGCCACGATTGAATTCACTAAACCAGTGATATACAGTGGTTTTAGATGGTACTTCATCAAAGTGAGTTGATTGATGCACTGTTGTTGAGATAATCCACGTCGAAAATCGTAAAAAATCATCGCACGAAAATCTTCTCGAGTTAATTCCATTTTTTTATTGATGAAATTTTCAAGTCACTGTAAACAACACAAATAGAGTCCATACGACTAGATGTTCTGAGTACGTATACTGTCAAAAATGTCAAACTTTACGATGGAAAAGTCAGATGGCGTCATACACCAACAGTGGTGCCAATTCCAGATACATAAATAGCAACTCTTATAATAGCGTCGTTAAGCTTAATCTTTAAATGCCATTTATCCATAAAATGATCAGCTTTGATAAGTCTGTCTTTAGAGAACAAACAAAAGGCAGACTTAGAACACGAAATTTCAAGACCGAGCTGACTAATATTCTCATTAAAAATAGGTAAAGCCTTATTAATCAAGTCATATACAACAGGTATTAATTGACTAGAGGTATACAGACAAATGTTATCTGCGTAAACAAGATAGTGAACATCCTCCGGAAGAGAACGAAAAATGAAGGAGATAAATGTTGAAAAGAATAGGACTGAGCACCGAACCTTGAGGGAGGCCACCTTTAGCGGTCCTAGAGCCCAGCGAAGTATCTCCCACGAAGCTCTCTACAGATCTGTGACAATAAAATCTGTTTCAATAAAAAGTCAAGAAATTTCAAATATTTTACAGACAAATGCAACTGTTTTAAAATGTTCAACATAGTGTGAGGAAGAATAGTGTCAAGGGCTCCACGCAAGTCAATGAAAATGACACCAGTAAACATATTCCTGAAAAAACCTAACAGTGCAATTAACGTTAATGCCCAATCATAATGTAATTAAACAGAAAGGCTTTCATGCTCTACAGAAAGCATTGAAATTTCATGATATTATTTACAACAAACCATGTCAATGTGGTGTCTGTTGTAACAACCGAAACTAATTGCCTTATTTTCATAGAATTAGATATCAGAGCTGATCTTCAATCTACTGCAAAATCTTGTAAACTTAAAGAATTACCAACGATATTGATATTGGCAAAGCAATATAGGTATAATTGTTTTACATGTGAAATTACGTATCTCTTTTTAATACATATAATTAACATGATTTCAATGTTTCAGACTGATAGGTGTTGTTGCAGGATATCCAGGTCATTTTGTTGCTTATTGTAGATGACTTTCAGGACTATGGGAGCAATATAATAATTTGAATACTACAGTAAAATCTTGTACACAAAACGAATCAATTACTCCCATCGCTGCGATTTATATTATTCACGAAGATAATTAAATGGTATATATATACGAGTTATATCACATTATATAAGAAAAATGTTTTAATATGTTTATGGACAATGGCCCTGGCAAAAATTCAAATTGGAGAATAAATAAAATGTAAACGAAGCGGGTACGCTTGCTTTATGTTCAGATGTTTCAATTTACGCTTTGTAAACGCTTCACTTACACTTTTATCACCTTCGTGTTGTTTACACTTTATTTACTTTGCAATTTCAATTTTCGCTAGTCATCGAAGTATATCAAGAAAGTTAAAGTTATTAAAATCTCTATATAAAAATACTAAAATTATTTTAAAAACTGAACATCACAAGATTATCTTTTCTTATGATGCAATAAATAGTCTGGCTGAAGTTTGGATGAAACTATTAAATGAAACTATTATTTTTTTAAGAATAAAATAATAAAATTATATAGAAAGGCTTTTGTGTTTTGCAGAAAGCATTGAAGTTGGCAAGAGAATAATAAAATAAAATAAAATAAAATAATTGAAAGGAACGACGAACGATTATAAAAGATAAAAAACTTTTGTATTCTATTGTATTTTGTATTCTACAGTACATACAAAATCAAATTACGCGTAAGTCTGCCGAAAGAAATTCTTTTTTTTCTAAATGAATAAATGCATTAAATTTATTCCTGCGTATTTTTAATTTTTATAAACATGTACAATACCGCAGTTAGTCTATAAATTTTAACAAAATTATTATCGTTAATACGTTAAATAGCATGAATACGTATAGTTATTTTAGAATATACAATTATTTATTCAAAGAATATATTTACAGTATTATTAACGTTAATATCTAATCATAATATAATTATACAGAAAAGCTCTCGTGCTCCACAGAAAGCATTGAAATTTCATGATATTATTTACAATAAACTGTCAATGTGGTTGTCTGTTGTAACAATCGAAATTAATTGCCATATTTTCATAGAATTAGATATCAGAGCTGATCTTCAATTTACTGCAAAATCTTGTAAACTTAAAGAATTAGCAACGATGATATATTGGCAAAGCAATATAGGTATAATTGCTTTACATGTGAAATTACGTATCTCTTTTTAACACATAATTAACATGATTTC